ATCGGGCCTTTCACGGCAGCACGATAACAATCAAAACAGTGTGTCGGGGCCCGCCACGCAAGAACGCACACGCCGGCCCGTCCGCAGGGAGGATCTGAAGGCGGTGAGCGGCCCGCCAGGAGCACGCTGTCTCCTTTCGCCATCCCCCCGCCCGAGAACACAGCCCGGAGAGCGAGCGGGCCTGTGCGCAGGGACGCCCACTCGCCAGTTCTCTGAGGAACCAGGATGCTGTCCAGCACCTCCCCGGGGCTCCTCACCTCCAGCCCCAGAGCTGACCCTGCGCGGAGCAGTAACTCTGCAGCTGGGATTCCAGCAGGAGTGTCCCGTTGCACAGCTCCAGGGGGCGCCGTTCGCAGACAGGATGTGCGAGGAGCCCCGAAGTGCGCAGTGCTGGGGTTCCGAGGCTGCGGCCTTCAGAGTGAGGGAGCAGACGGTTGTGTTGACCTTCAGGACCCAGTCTTGCCACAGCCAAGCTACCCGGCAGGCCCAGCTCCCAGTGAGCTGCATGAGAGCAATGTCTTCCTTGCCTGGAGGGGAAGTTTCTGGAGTTTGGATGTTTGCCCAGAGAGCAAAGTCACCTGCGCTGTTGCTTAGCCTGGCGGGGGGGGGGGGGGGGGGAGGGGGATTCTCAGGGGCAGTTTGACCCCACGAGACCTCGTGGGCCGTGTCAGCTGGAAGGAGGCGACTGTCACGGGGCCCCAGTGAGTGAGTGTGTGTGTGTGTGTGTGTGTGTGTGTGCGTGTTAAGGATATCTGTGAAAGTGGAGAGGATGGAAAAGCCATGGTCCCGTCCTCGCTGGGTGTGTGTGTCTAGTGGGTGGAGCCGAAGATGCAGCTAAGCTTCCCCCCCAGGACAAAGAGGGACCGGCCCTGAATGCCAGGAGTGCCAGGAGGAAAAGCCCTGCCGAGGGGAGGTGCCCAACCCCGTGGACCCTGGGGCTTCTGGTTCCCATTCTCCCTCGGCTCTCCTTGCCCCCAAGGGGCCGGGCCCTCCGCTCCCTGGCTGAGCGGGCTGAGGCAGCGCTGCCCATCCGAGGGGGATGCGAGCCGGTGGCCGGCTCTCTGGGACGGCGTGACGGCTCTGTGCGAAGCCCTGGGAGCCGAAGCTGGAGAGTCGTGGTTGAGAGTCCCCACTGTCACTTCGTGGCCCGGTGACCTTGAGACGAGTCACTGAACCTCCCCGGGCACCACCTTTCCCGTCTGTAAAATGGGGTGATGCAGCAGAAAGCACGTGGGGGTGCAGGAGCGGCCACGCTGTGGCCACACGTGAAGTGGGCGGGACCTCTTTTAACAGCGTCTGCGTGGCTTCCAGGATGGTGCGAGCGTCCTCTGTGGCAAATTAGAATCCCGGCCCAGGGTTCCCTCTGCGTCCTGGGCTCCTGGGTGCTCCCGGGGTGACCGAGGGGGACTCCGGGGCTCACCACTGAGCGCCCAGTGTCCCTGGCGAACCTGGGCAGTCGGGCACCCAAGTTCCCATCACAAAACTCAAGCGGCACTCAGGGACTTGTGAGTTCATTTCCTGGGACAGCAGGAAGGGGCCCTGAGTCGGGGCAGCTGCAGCACCATCCTCATCCTCGGTGACGTCTTCGGTCCCTGGTGACCGGCGTGTGTAGCCAGGCTGGGAGCTCTGGGTTTACGCCCGGAGTTGACGCCAGTGGGATGGGGCGCAGAGGGTATGGGGGGACTGAGCCCTTTCAGGGGGTCACCCCTAACAGATGCACGGCATGGAGCAGAGCAAGGGGCCGCGGTGAGTGTGTGTGTGTGTTAAGGGATATCTGTGAAGGTGGAGAGGATGGAAAAGCCATGGTCCAGCCCTCACTGTGTGTGTGTGTGTGTGTAAGCATGAGTGTTAAGGAATATCTGTGAAGATGGAGAGGATGGAAAAGCCATGGTCCAGCCCTCACTGTGTGTGTGTGTGTGTGTAAGCATGAGTGTTAAGGAATATCTGTGAAGATGGAGAGGATGGAAAAGCCATGGCCCAGCCCTCGCTGAGTGTGTTTTTGTATGCGTGTGTGTTAAGGGATATCTGTGAAGGTGGAGAGGATGGAAAAGCCATGGTCCAGCCCTCGCTGGGGGAGGTGTGTGTGTGTATGTGTGTGTGTGTGTGTGTGTATGTGTATGTGTATGCATGTGTGTTAAGGGATATCTGTGAAGGTGGAGAGGATGGAAAAGCCATGGTCCAGCCCTCTCTCTCGGGGCTGATGGAGCCAGGAGCCCCCAGAAGAGAGCCCATGACCACCCGGCGAGGCAGCACCCTAGAGCGTCCTGGCAGCACCCCAAGGGCGGGCCCCGGCTGGGCTGGAAGCCCCGTGCCGGGCTGGGCAGGGCAGGGCAGCCAGGCGTGCCGGGACAGAAGAATGGCGCTTCTGTGCCGCTTATCAGGACGGTGGCTCCGGCAGGATGTGGCGAGGCTTCCCCAGCCCGCCCGGCGGCCGGCCGCAGCCAGCGCCCAGGCATGGCGAGGACTTTGGCCGGGGAGCCCCACCTTGACTCGCTGGTGACATTGGGCTGGCGGCTCTCCAAGGTCAGGCTGTGGTAAGGCATGAGGACAGGAAGCCAGGTGGCAGCCATGGACAGCGAGCCACCGAGTGCTGTTTCCACACCCGACGAGGCCCCAGATCTGGTCAGACCCCCTGACCTTGCTCATGGGAAGACGCCCATGGGGTCATGGGTCCCACCTGGTCAGATCTTTCTGCAGCTGCTGAGATGTGAGGGCAGAGACCAGCAACCACAGCCTGCGGGCCTACTCCGTCCACCACCTGGTTTTGTAAATAAAGTTTTATTGGGACACGGCCCCACTCCCTCACTTACGTACTGGCTGCTCTCCCACTGCAAAGGCAGAGCTGAGGAGTAGCCACAGAGACCCTCCGAGCCTAAAATACTCACAGTCGTTTCCTGTGAGGTGGCCCGTGGGTCATGGGGGAGGTCAGAGCCTGCCTGAGCCTCTCCTCGCCCAGAAATAAATGGAGAGAGCCTGCCTGGCCTGGCTCAGTGTTGAGCATCAACCTACGAACCAGGAGGTCACGGTTCAATCCCTGGTCAGGGCACATGCCCGGGTTGTGGACTTGATCCCCAGTGTGCGGTGTGCAGGAGGCAGCCTATCAATGATTCTCTCTCAGGATGTTTCTCTCTCTCCCCCTCTCCCTTCTTCTCTGAAGTCAATAAAAATATATTTTAAAATAAAAAGAAGTAAACAGAGAGAGCTGTCTGAGATAAGGTAGGTGGACCTGAGGGAGCTCAGGGATCCGGGAGCCCAGGAGAGAGGCCAGCAGACGGCGGCATAGCCAGGGCCCTTCTCGGACATGCCGGGGGCCACGTGAACACGTGTCTTCTTGTCTGTCCACTGCATGTCGTGAACAGGTGTCCTCAGGGCGTGACCTTCGTCCCGGACACTAGACGTTTCCTTTATTAGAGAACCATCAATAACTCTGCAGATGCCACCACTGCTGAGCGGGTGGCGGGTGTGGAGGGGAAGCGTGAAGCTGTCAGCAGGAGACGGGATGAGAATTCGTCAAACGAGCTCCATGTTCATCAGGCCCAGGCTCAGCGCGGGCCGGTCTCCTCCTCAGTGTCTCCTCGCCTGGCGGGCGGCCCCCAGGTCAGAGGGTCTCTTAGGAAAACATTGACCCCAGAGCCTCCGTGTGTGTGTGTGTGTGTGTGTGTGTGTGTGTGTGTGTGTCTGTCTGGGGCTCTGAGCCCCGGTGAAATGTGTGTATGAGCCGAGGGATGAAAGAAAACACAGGCTGAGGTGCAAGCCCTCAAGTAAATAGGTTAGACTCAGGACGGTCCCCAGTGCTCTTGCCGGGGGGTAGGACTGGGGGCCGTGGCCAGAGCTGGCCTAACGGGACCGTCCAGGCAGCCAGGCATCCCCGTCCCGGGAGCCTGGCGGGTGAGCAGACAGGAGGAAGGGGGAGCGCCCCCCTGTCGCTGAGCTGATGGGTGGATCCCCGCCGGCAGCAGAGGGACAGACGTGAGCCAATGGGCCGGAAAGACAAGTGACAGCGGATGGAGCTTCCTTTCCTCCCTAATCCTCCCCCACCCTCCGGGCCACGTGCCTAGCAGCGCCTGCCAAGTGGCACCTCTTCTCTCGCCCGGGAGCTCTGTGGTGATCAGAGGGGTCCTCCATGGAGGGGCTGCCCATGGACCTGTGCAGCGGGGCTCGATGCCCAGGCTCCGCCTTCCCGCTGCCTTCAGACCGGCCAGCGCTTTCCTTTCTCTGAGCTCCCAGTGCGCAGGAGCGGGCTCCTCACCCAGGCGCGTGCCTCTGTCCCGGGTCGCATGCTGCATCGGCACCGTCCGTCTCCTCCCGGGCTCCCTCCCTCTGCACTCCGATGGCTGGTCTGCGCAGGAAGCCGGCTCTCAAGGCTTGGCTCTGACCAGCTGGCCAACTTGCACAGCTCCGTGTCCTGCAGAGGCGGGAGGAGGGAGGACCGCGGGGAGCATCACCAGGACCCCAGGATGCACGGTGCCTGGTCCAGACCCACAGGGGGAGCCCGTGGAGAAGCGGAGCCCAGACCCAGGCCATCTGGGCCGCTGTCCGCTTCTGCGTCGGGACTCTCACGTCCCACTTCTGAAGCTGCTTCTCCATAAAATGTGATGTATCCACCGCCAGGCACTGAGGGGAAGGAACCTAAGTGTGCTGGCCTCTAAGTCGCAGCAACCATCAGTTCACGGGGTCCAGTGACCATCCTGGGGGCTCCAGGGGGCTCCTTCCACGTGACCAACCAGGACGTTGGATGATCTGAGCAGAGCTATATAGTTAACATGGCGGAACTGGGGCCATCCTAGCACTCGGGCAGCAGGGAGGGGTGGCATATCCATGACACCCCTCCCTCTCCTGTGCCCTCCTCCAACCCCGGGCCCTATCCTTCCTCATTCCTCTGCTGCCCCAGCTCGCCCCTCGGTCGCTGGCAGTGGAGGAGGCCCTGGGCCCAGGCTGGGGCCCTGCCTGCGGGGCGTGTGGTTCCGGACGCCCCTTCACGGGTCTCCTTGGTCTTTCAGGAACTTGGCCTTCGGCATCGGCATCCAGAACTTCCCTGAGGGCCTGGCGGTCAGCCTCCCCCTGCGAGGGGCTGGCTTCTCCACCTGGAGGGCCTTCTGGTGAGTGCGCCCGAGTGTCCGGTCCCAGGCCGGGGTCCCAGCCGCTTCTTTCTGCCAGGCGACCCCTCTGACCTGGAAGGGAATCTGACGCTTCTGGTGAAACGCCGAGGACCTGGCAGGACCTCTGTGCGTAGCCACGCGTGCCCACCGGTGCATGTCTGTCCTCCCGCAGGTACGGGCAGCTGAGCGGCATGGTGGAGCCCCTGGCCGGGCTCTTTGGGGCTTTCGCCGTGGTTCTGGCCGAGCCCCTCCTGCCCTATGCCCTGGCCTTTGCTGCGGGCGCCATGGTCTACGTGGTCATGGACGACATCATCCCTGAGGCGCAGATCAGGTGGGAGAGCTGCCCTTCCCCATTGGTCCTTGCCCCTGCTCCTTCCCCTGCCCCTGCCCCTGCCCCTGCCCCCGCCCCTGCCCCTCCACTTTTTCTCCCTCCCTTCCTGCCACCTTCTCTAGATGCTCCCGGCCTGGAACAGGAGGGAGGTGGGCTTCCATGGCCTCGCTGTCTGGCTACGGACCAGCGTCAGGGGCTTCCTCTTTGTTTATTTTGCTTTTCATGGCGGGATGGTTTGGAGGTAGTTCACGGCCAGGTTGCATAAGATCTCCAGGAGCTTCCTGGCCACCATGCATCACTGGAGCGCGGATTCCAGAGCTGCAACAGGCGGGCGACCTTTGGCAAGTTCTTTAACGTCCCCGTGACTCGGTTTCCCCGCCAGTAGCGTGGACATACCGATTCCGTGGTTGTCCCTGTTGCAGACAGGAGTTTCTCCGATGGCCTAGCTCGGTGTCAGCGGGCAGTGTCCGTTGTCAGTGTCGGTCCCATCGTTGTTCGTGGGGTGCTCTCTGTCCGAGCTGGCCCATGCGTTTTGCGTGGGGGGCGGCCCCCAGGGGGCACCGCGGCCTTACGTTTCTCCTCTCCTTCCCTCCTAGCGGGAACGGGAAGCTGGCGTCCTGGGCCTCCATCCTGGGGTTTGTGGTGATGATGTCACTGGACGTGGGCCTGGGCTAGCGCCGAGCTGCCCTTGAGCCCAGGAAAGGCTGCGCAAGGACACGGACACGGACACGGACACGCCTGGCTTCCACGGGAGCACGGACTCCTCCTTCTCGTCCGAACCTGTTTGCTTTCCCTCCTCCTCATCTCCTTACCCCATTGATTCTGATCAAAAACGGTCTGTCCTTTTCTCCCGAAGGGGAGACTGGTGTTATTTGTGGAATTCCCAGGGGTCAGTGGGACTCCCGGGTGGCCTCTGGTGGGACTGCAGCTCAGGGACGTGTCTGCTCTCGGACCTCCAGGCGCTCTCACCAGACTCCGGGGCAGGCTCCAAGGTCGCCCGCGGAGGCCCGCTCCCAGGGAGAAGGCTCTGAGCACATGCGCCTGGCAACGCGGAGCAGAGCGGCCGGGACTCCTCTCCTCTGTCCTCCGGACCTGGGACTGGAGCATCGAGGACAGAGCCACCTCCTCCTCTCGCAGGCCCAGCGGCCCCGGGAGGAACATTCCTTCCCGGCCTCCCTGAGGGAGACCCTGAGCGGGCTGGGGGCACAGACAGGGGAGAGGATCAGCTATTCTCTCTCTGTCTCTCTCTCTCTCTCTTTCTCTCTCTTTCTCTCTCTCTCTCTCTCTTTCTCTCTCCCTCTTTCTCTTCCCCTCTCTCTGCAAAGATTGACTTTTTGAAATTGAAGGAACCGGGGAATTGTGATGGCTGTGAACACAGCCTGTGAAAAGAAGGGGCTGTAGCTTTGGTCGGAGACCTGTGTTCCGTGTGCACCGTAGTTGCCATGGTTTCCAAGTCCCCATGACACTCACGTTGATCCGTGTAGAGCCTTCCTTTTTCTAAGCGATGCGGGACACCCGCCAGCCGCTGGGACTCCAGCCCTTCGTTTACATGTGGACGGAGCCACTCGCGCTCACGTAGGTGCAGGGAAGGCCTGTGGCCTCAGCGGGGAGTCCCTCTCTGCTGGCCGTTCGGTCACCTGGACCCTGACCCGGAGCTCCGAAGCCTGGAAAGCTTTGCTGGAGTTCGGACGGAGCGCTCAGAATGAGAAAGGAAGGACGGGGGGAGAGAACAGAGATGATTTTTACATTTCCCTTTTTAAAGCAAGTTTCAGCTAGTCTCTGACGTGACCCTAACCAGTGACTTGAACTGACTAGCAGCCAGTCTTTTCCTCCAGACGCATAGCTTCTTCAGCAGGGGAGGACGTGGCTGCTCAGCTGCGCCGAGGGGCCGCCGTCCTCATGGGTCACAGGAGCCCACGGGACCGTGGGGGGCGGGCCTCCCCCGAGGGCACGGCAGGTGGCCCCGGCGGCTGGTGGCCAGGCGTCATGTTGTCCACGCCTGCCCTGCCCTCTGCGTTTACATGTCCCACTGCTTCCGAGGTGAAGGAACGCCAGAGGCCAGCCTCCCGGGGGCCAGTCAGTGTACATTCTCCCAAAGCCCCGATGATCAGATGGAAGACACGTCCAGGGGTCTGAGGGGCAAGAGGACATGTTCTGGTGGCCGGGGTGTGTGTGCGCTGGTGTCTTCGTATGTCGTTTTCTACACGAGGCTTCTTTCTGATGGACCAGACCTCATAACTGTGATTCAGGCCAATAAAGGGATTCTGTGTGGACGACCCGGGCTGCGCTCAGTCCTTCTCCACGCCGCCTCTTCCCAGGATGGTCAGTGGAAGAGCCAACTAGAACGTTGGTGCTGCCCAGCCGATGTGGCTCAGTGGTTTCACACTGACCTATGAACCAGGAAGTCCCGGTTCGATTCCCAGGGACAGGGCACATGCCCGGGTGGAGGGCTCCATCCCCAATAAGGGGCGGGCAGGAGACAGCTGATCAGTGGTTCTCTCTCACCATTGATGTTTCTATCTCCCTCTCTCCTTTCCTCTCTGAAATCAACAAAAATATATTTTAAAAATAAAATGAAAAATTAGTCCTGACATCCTCCCTGCCTGACACCCGCAGAAGCCAAGGAAAGCACTCGGAGGACAAAGGGAGTTGGAGTCCTGGTTACAGAATCCGTCAGACACCGGCGGACCAGACAAGGGACTCCGTGGAAGGCTGAGGGGCAGGGAGCTCCCAGCACCCACAGGGGAGCCAGACTTGGAAATCAGTTCCATCCAAGAAAGCTAGAGGACTGGGGTCACCAAGGCTCCATCACATATCAAACTCAGCTGCCATGGCCCCCAGAACTGGTCCCCCAGATGCTGAAGACACACCCCTCAAAGCACTGCTGCCCTGGGCGTGCGCCCTCCACCCCCATGTACATGAACCCCACACTGACCACCCCGCACCACCTCCCTCAACCCTCCTCCACTTCCGTGCCATTAACCCTGACTGGGGAGGAAGGTGAGGGCTGGCGGGAAGTCTTACCTGCCCAGGCGGCCAGGGTGCACAAACTGGCTTCCATCCTCCTCTCCAGAGCTTTCCCCGGGCAGTGCCCGGCCACCCCTCCACCCCCAAGAAATGTGGGTGGACGTTGGGAGCAATGGGACCAGGGGCTGTTTGTTTCCCCTCTGGCATCGCGCTGTGACCACACTCATTTCCACCTACTCTTCCCACTCATGTGGGTCTGCCCCCCACTCCCATCCCTGACCTCGCCCACCTCACCCACCCGCTCTGGCCACACACGCTGAGCCCGGCCACCGGGCCCCGGTGTGGCCCACAGCCTGGCTGGAGAGGGGGAGAAGTGGGGGGGCCGGCCTGCCACACTCCAGGGTGGAGGGAGCCTCTCAGAGCCCAAAGGGCGGGGCCCTGAGCTTTGCAGGCAACGTGCAGCGCCCAAGGGCCGCCTGACAGGAACACACCCACATCCTCTCCCCTTCTCTTCCCCCCTCATCCTCCATAACCCCCTTGATAAGGCCAGGCCCGCCCGCCACCAAAGGACCCCAGCTTTTCGGGGCTCCCAGCCGCCCCTCCAGGCGGGCTTTGGGGATGTGAAGTGAAGGGGCTCCGTTCTTGGGACGGGGCGGGCTTTAAGGTAAGTTTGCCTCTGGTCCCCGGCTGGGGAGGCTCTTCCACAGCTTCCCGCATCCTCCGTGGTGAATTCACTTTGTGGTTGGTCATCCTAACAGCGCAGCCGCCAGCGCCGCTGGGAGAAGCAGGGAGGCAACTCACAACGCCAACACCCCCCCCCCCCCCCCCCCCCGCGCTCCAGCGGGGAGAGCAGCCTGGGGCATCATCATCCTCCTCCCAGAGGGATGCTGGCTCCACCCCCCACTCCCCTCAACCCCCCGCCCCCACCGCCAATGAGAGCTGTGGCCAGCAGCGCCCCGAGTCTGTCCCACCCTCATCCTTCTGTTTCCCATCTGCTTTTTAAAAAAATTATATATATATATATATATATATATATATATATATATATATATATATATATAATTGATTTCAGAGATGAAAGGAGGAGAGAGAGAGAAACATCAATGACGAGCCGAAACTGGTTTGGCTTAATGGACAGAGCGTCAGCTTAGAGACTGAAGGGTCCTGGATTCAATTCCGGTCAAGGGCATGTACCTTGGTTGCGGGCATATCCCCAGTAGGGGGTGTGCAAGAGGCAGCTGATCAATGACTCTCTCTCATCAATGTTTCTAACTCACTCTCTCCCTTCCTCTCTGTACAAAATCAATAAAATATATTAAAAACAAAACAAAATAAAAAACATCAATGACGAGAATCACTGATCAGCACGCCCCACACTGTGGATGGACCCCGCCACCTGGACATGTGCCCCGACCGGGAATGGAACCACGTCCTCCTGGTTTATAGGTTGATGCTCAGTCACTGAGCCATGCGGGCTGGACCCAAGAATTTAAAAAAAAAACAAAAACACATACCTATCTATTCAAAAGTTGTCTAATCGCCTGCCCTTGTGTATGAAAAACAACACACATCTTGTAGGTCCAAGTCAAGGCTTACCTCTCTGGCTTTGGGGCCCAGCCTTTAGTGAAAGGGAGATGTTTCAAGTTGTCAGGCGGCGATGAGAACAGAGAATGCTCTGGAAACAAAGGGTTCCTGAACCGTCTCATCCTCCTTCCTAAGAGCTGGCCGCTCACCCAGTAAGTTCCGTCTGTTTGGCAGGAGGGGTGGTACAGGTGTGTGTGTGTATGTGTGTGTGTGTGTGTGTGTGTGTGTGTGTAATGTGGAATCCTTAGCAACTGTAAAGCCCTTGGCAGACCTATCAGGCTGGCAGGTGCTGAAAAGTAAAACCCTCTTTTTCTAAACTGATGCCAGTTTCCCATCCTCCTCCTCACAGCTCCACCCGGAGCCGCCTCTCAGCCCCTGTGGGTCCAGGCCCCGGCCGGGCACAGTGGCAGTCTGACTGGGGGAGACAGCCACGGAGGTTACAGGGAAGGTCGGGGTTAGATCTTTGCCTCCGTGGACTCTGTCCTCCTGCATATTCATTTCCGGGCAGAGAAAGATAAGGGGGACAGTGGGTGGGAGGTTTGGGTTGGGGTCAGAGGGGCCGCTGAGGGAGAAGGAGGGAAGGAAGGAATGGGGATACAGGCTGGCACCGTTGGCACCCAGAGAGCCGGACAGCAGGGCTCTGGGAAAAGGCAGGATGAGATGAGGCCCTGACTCCGTGTCTCGGTGGAGATGACAGCGCCGATAGCGAGGCGGATTGCAATCAGCCTTGGCAGGGGTGCGTCGGGCAGGGCTTTGCGGTTTGGTAAAGTGCGGCCGACAAGTAGGGCACAGGCTCCCGGGCAAACGCCCTTCCCTGCCGGGGCTGCCAGCACCACCCATGCCCAGGCTCCTCCCAGCTCCAGCTCAGATTCCATTTTCTCCAGTTTCCTGGTCTGGGAGGCTGGTCCCACCTGTTAGGCTCCTGTGTTTATCACCCATAGCGCCTGATGCTCTTTGCTGTGACCACTGCCCCATGCGTTGGTCAGCACTGACCTTGACAGAGAGTCTGGTCCTCACATAGGTACCGAGAGGGTTGGTGCCAGCCCAAAGCGGTGGGTGCTTACGTGATTTGAGAAGGAGCTCAGGCCTTGCCAAGCAGCCGGGAAGATAATATGCACTCCGAT